GGTGTTGTTATTTGGCAGTTTGCTTCAATCAGTACCTTTATTTTGTTTTCATTGGCTTCAACTGGCCATCCAGAACATGGTTCATCTTCAATATTGAAATTGACAGAACGAAATTTTGCAAACCAGTTTTGGTACTGTCATTCTGTCAATACATCTTCTCCATACACGTCACACAATTTTTTCTCGCTTGAACAGCATTCTTATATTTTCGGTAATAAAAGAGCAAAATATGCCAAAAATGCTGCTTTCGATCTTCCATATTTGATGGGACACAAAAAATAAACAATTGTACAAAATCAAACAAAATTTTTTACAAATAAGCCTTAAAATGCTAGCTGTCAAAACATATAATGATAATAAGGTTTAGAATGAAAATGGTGGGAAAAATAAGACTAATCTGTCTAGTCTAGACTAAAAAAAAAAAACAAAAATTACTTTTCCGAACAACCCAATATATATGTCAGAAATGTAAAGGCAAGCAGAGGGGACCTAACTAAGCAGATTTCGTATAGGAATGTGGGTGAAGAAATGCAGTGAAAGGGCGCTGTTGAGTTCAACGGATGAAAGCGCTTTGCTGGCTTGAATTGTCATTCCCAACAAGGATTTTCAGCAACATGCATTGTTACACCAATGCAGAGCTTGCCAACATGCATTTCATGTATGAGGCTGTGCAAGGAAATGGAGCTGCTGCTCAAAGGATTTACTGTACTTGGAGCAATTTCTGGGTAGGAATCTGCTGAATTGCCGAACATTTGAATGTCTTCATCACGAGTTGTGCGTGGAAATCGCTCCATGTACATCCTTTGAGCAACAGCTCTATTTCCTTGCCAGCCCCATAAACAAATTGCATGTTGGCAAGCCCCGCATTGGTGTAATGATGCATGTTGCTCAAAATCCATGCTGGGAATGACGATTCAAGCCAGCAAAGTGTTTTCATCCGCCAAACTCAACAGTGCCCTCTGACTGCATTTTTGCACCCACATTCAATGTACTGGAGAGAAAGAGAACATTCCTATTAAAGAAAAAACAACATTCAAATATTCTAAATTAATTAAGAGTAATGGTACACAAGATGGAGAAGTGAAAGCATGGGATAGATTGGAATTTAGGCAAAAATATATATTTGTTTATTTGGCAGATACTATTTACAATATTTTAACACCGTATACATACTGTATAATAAGAAATTATTAATTTTTATGTTATATAAAGTGCAAGTCACTTAACTCTGACAATTAACATAAAACTGTAGCTTTTTAAATCAAAATCAATTCTTGAAACTTATTATAAGATCTGATTTTTTATAAATATTCTGTCAATATTAGAGTAAACTTCATTTAAATAATCTAAATGAAGATTATTCCACATCAAAACCAAAGCTGATTAGCCACCTTGTTTTCTTTGCTAATCTATAGAATAAATTTTAACCAACAAAATCAGCCCATCAACTTAGCTAGCAGTCTCTCAAAGATTAACACTCTTCAATGTGTTGAAAATATTTCTGTGGCTTAAAGTGCATTTAACCTTAAAATTAAAACTCATGCAATCAGTCCTTAGTATCAAAACTTTTAACTTTCAAAATAACTTCTGTAAATATAATGTTAAAACAACAAAATAATAATTTCTATACAGCACCAATATAAATAAAATAAAGTCCTGTGCCCATTTATTTACCATAAAGCAACTTTCCAAATGTATATATACAGGGCGTTTCAAAACTATTGGGTTGTTCAAAAAGTCAGTTCGTTTTTTTTC